GAAGCCACCATCCTGCGGGCAGGTCTAGGATCCCTCAGCCAAAATGTTTGGAACCACAGTGTTGTGGGCTTTTCAGATTTGGGAATATTTATGTGGATGGACAGAGCGTCCTTGAGGATGGGGCCCCTGTCTGAGTACAAGGTCCATTTGTGTTTTACTAGCACCTAAATATCCTAAAGGCTTCTATGTACAGTACCTTTATTACACCTGTATTTTGACCCTGAGGTGTAGAATTTTCCACTTGTGCTATTATCAGCGCTCAAAGTGTTCTGCATCTTGGAGGATTTGGGATTTTCAGATTATTATGTTCAATCTGCATATGAAATTTTAATATAACCTGTGTGAGAAATTTTCCCATAAATCTATAAATTATTTTAGTGACTATAATTAATAAGTACATTTTACAAACTCATTTGATACAGAATTAGTTTATAGAATTCAGCGATATTTTTGTATGCCAATAATAACAATGTCTTAAATATTAGTTAAAAAATGAAAAATTAAAAGATACAACTATAACAAAGCATCAAAAATATATTAACTAGAATATAAAAAGCAAAAGATAATCAAAACAATATAATGTTCTTGAGAGAAAATTTAAAGGACCTAAACAAGTGGCATTGATTGGGAAGATTCGGCATTAGGAAAGTAGTATGTCTCCAGGAGCCACTAGCTACATGTGGCATTTGAGCACTTGAAACGAGACTACTCTGAATTGGGCTGTGCGCTTAGTATAAAATGCTCATTGGAATCAAAGACTCAGTATGGAAAATTGAGTGTCAAATATCTCAATTGTTTTTAAATGTTGATTACTGTTTTAGGTTGTAACATTTGTATATATTGTTATAAAACATTAAAATTGATTTCACCTGATAACTCTACTTTTTCAATTTGACTTAGCAAATTTAAAATGTGTAGTTTTCATTTTTGGTTCACATTATATTTCTATTGGACAAGACTAGATTTTAGATTTGATGCCACCTCTGTCAGAATCAGAAGAGATTATATATAGTTTTTGAAAGTTGATAGGCAGTTCTAAGTTTTATGGGTAATAGAGGGACAAGAATATTGAAGGCTCTTTTGATAAAGGTCTCCATCATAGGGTTTCTCAATTTCAGCAGGTAGCCTGATTATTCTTGGTAGGAAGAGGGTAGGGGGCTGTCTTGTGATTGTGCCATGTTCCTTAGCCTCCCTGGCCTCTACCCACTAGATGTCTGTAGCACCCCATTTCTGAAAATCAAGATGTTGCCATATGAATAAATCAATAGGGAAAAACTTACCACATTGTCACAAAATTGCTCCTGTGTTACAGAATTGTCCCTGAGAAGGATGGTCTTTACTGGGTGTGAAATCTATCCAGCAAGTCAGTGCAGGCAAGGACCAAAGTAAACATTTGGTCAGTGGAGTGGAAGGTGGAGGAACAGAGCAAGGCCCGCACAGGTACGGAGGCACAGGTGCAGTAGGTCCATCTCAGTGGCACAGCTGTTAGGAAAGAAGTTTGACCTCTCGGCACCACACACACAGAAACCAGCTTTGGGGGATTTTGGATGCAACGTAAGAGACGAGATGATAAAGCTTTTAGAAAAGAATGTAAGAGATTCTCTTCATGGTTCTCTAAAAGTCAGCAGCAGTGCTGATCATGAAGGAGAAGGGTGCTTAGAGTGGGCTGTACCCAAGGCAGGATCCTGTTGGTGAGGAGATGCTGCAGGAAGATGGACCAGAGGCCATCGAGCAGCTGGACATGTTCCTGACATGTCTGCCACGGAGCTCATCGACCCAGAATATGTGAAGCTTGCATTAAAACAGATCAGTAGGAAAAAGGCAGGTCCCAGAGGAGAAAGGCCTACAACACCAGGTTCTCCCTGGTTCCAGAATCCAGAGCTCCAGGCATAGAGGTGCACGTGGCAGGGGAGCTACAGCTCACGGGTGTCTCTAGCCTCCAGGCAGGCGCAGGGCAGAGCGGGAACGGCTAGCCTTGGCAGTAAGACCAGACAGCCAGGGCAGTGTCAGGCTGCAGGGGCGGGCCTGCTGTACCTGCCATGACCTGCCCGGCTGCAGGGAGTGGTGTGTCCTAGAGGGTGCTCCACCTGGAACCTTGCAGTAGTGTATTCCATCAGAGGCCAGGGAGGGGCTTCCCTAGTAATGCATTCCCAAGGGGAGAAGCAGGCAGCACTGAAACCATTCACAGCTATGTCCAGCAGCACAGCGACTCTCTCGGATTCTGTGTGTGTGTGGGGGGGACAGACAAAAGAATAGGTGTCACCGTAACATTTTACCTAATTTCCTTTAACAGGTAAAACTAAACTCTAATATGATAAGAGATAACAGCAATTTTTATAATAACTGAAACCTGGAAATAATCCAGGTGTCTCCCAGCAGGCAGTGGTTGGAGGCATTTTTGTGTATTCATGCAGTGGAATACTGATAACAAAGAGAATGAGCCTCACCATGCAGCAACACGGAGGGTCACGCAGGCACCCAGACAAAAGAATCTGCGGTTCCATTCATGTCAATTTTAAACAGGCAAAAAAATTGAACTGCAGTGTAAAAGTCAGGACATGGGATGTCTTTGGGTAGCCAGGGGAAGAAGAGGCCATCTGGGGATGGTGTTTCATGACAGTCCCTCAACCATACTTTCGTGTTTGATGTCCGGGCCTGGCACAGTGAGATGAGCCTGCTGTGGATACCTGGTGTGGGTGTTGCATCCAGCTCTCTGCCTCATTGCACATCTGCAGAGTGAATAGGATACCAACCCATTCTGTTTCTGTCCAAGCACAGCAGACTCAGCAGGTGAGCTTGATGGTGGCTGGCTCTGCCCTGGTTGTGGGCATGCTGGGCCAGGTGCCTGCTCCAGGAAATTGAGGACCCCCTTCAGAGTCCCCTCACATTCGCCAGCCCAGTGGGACCTCTGGTAGTGGTCAGATAGTTTGTTTCCTTTTCTGCATGTTATCTCACTAAATGATCTCAAGGCTTTCAACAAGTGTCCAGTGTAGGTAGGTTCTTCTTTGCCTTCTGTTTCCTGGTTGGTCATTGCTGGCATGTGATAGCTATTACTGCTGCTGCCAAAGTGCTGTGTGCATTAACACTTTTAATTTTGTCTCAAACATTCCATTGTGCACTGGTAGGAGCTGAGAACAAAGAGAATAATAAAGACACACCACATTTACGGCTGTGATGAGGTTCTCCCTGGTTCCAGAATCCACGTTTATCTGGCCAATGGCTCTGTGCTGGGAAAGCTGTTGATTTTCATTTTGTAAATGACTTCTGTCTCAATTCTAATCTGATTTTTCACTTGATGGTCTTGGGGTTCCCAGAAACCAATTACATTATTTACAGTTAATTATTTTTATGTGCTCTCCAGTAAGTCCTGTCTGGCTATCTTGCTTGGATTAAAACTTGCAGGGACACGCTGACACAGAAGTAAGAGTGGACATTCTTCTGTTAGTCCGACTAAATGGGAGTGTCCTTTTTTTAACCACTAAGAATTACTTGGACCATTGATTACAAAGTGCTTTTCCTTATGTTAAGTGTGTTTTTTAATGGGTTTTTATTTGTGTATTCTGTTTTTTTTTTTTTTTTTTTAAATCAGGGCTGAGCCTTTAAACTCTATCCATGCCTTGGGTATCTGTGAGTTTTTTTTTTTTCTGTGCTTAACTGTTAGTGTGATGAATTGTATACCCATTTAGCCTAAGTTGAGTCATCTGCATTCTGAGAAGTTTTAACACAGTGCTAAGTTTTATTTGCTAAGCTGTCACTAAGATCTTTGCATACGGCAGTGCAGCTAAGATTGGTTTGCCGTTTTCTCCTTGAAGCTTAGCATTGCTGTGGAAGGAATATGGGAGAGCGCTGTCTTCTTTCGCATGTATTGCGTGGTGGGTGGGATGTGCCTGCCGAGATCTCCTGTGAAGGGCTCATGCATTTCCTCCTAGTCACAGAGTGTTTAGCAGGGACGGGGAAGAGGTTGGTGTCCTGCTTGTGGCTCACTGTTTCCTCAAGTCGCAGGTCCTGCCTCCACTCAAGGGAAGAGTGCACTTTATAGATTTTAGATTTTAAGTTATCAGTAATGTTGTTTTGAGATTTTTCAATAAATCTTTGCATCTTTAATTGTTTCAAGTTCTAGAAGGGGAGCTGCAGAGTTAAAGGGTACAAACCTTGGTGGATGTGTGTGAGAGAGAGAGAGAGAGAGAGAGACAGACAGACAGACAGACAGACTGACTCAGGGCCTCCTGCATGCGAGGCAGGCACTGTGCCACTCTGCTACTTCTCCAGCCCTTTTTACTGTATTTTGAGGTGGGATCTCCCTAAGTTGTCCAGGCTGGCCTCAGACTTGTGGTCTTCCTGCCTCAGGGCGCTGCTCCTCACCCCTACCCACTTCCCAGATCAGGGGCGCACCTCACCAAGACACCTTGCAGTGTCTAAGCTTCTTGAGGCCTAATGGCTCTTGTCTGGTTGCTTTTGGAGAACCATGTGTCTTTGGGACATACTGTAAACAAACAATGACATTGACATCCTTAGGTGTGCCTCTTCTTCCAACAAGTAATGCCAAGAGGTTATTGAAAGATGAGAGAGCAGGAGAGAGGATGAGAGAGGATGAGAGTGACCATTCTTGTCATTAACAATTTGAGTGTGATCATTGTCTGAGAGCCCACAGGTTATTTGCATTAATTTCCCACAGCATAAAGGTTTTGGCAGCTTGATATTTCTTACTGAATCTAATATGCTGTGTGTGCCCAGGAACCTTGGGGTACCTCACATAGTGTAGGTGTTATGAAGAGAGAACAGACACTCTTGAGTAGCAGTGCCTTTTCTTAGGCCCACGAGGATCTTACTTCATTGGGGATTTTTTTTCCATTTGTACCCAAAATATAGCTTATGGTACATGAGCCTATGCTGAGCCTCTCTTATCTGGGGTTGTCCAGGGGCTGGGAAGCTGGAGACTCCTCTTGGGTCACCATGTGACCGCCACCATAATTAAAGTAGAGTTGGCTCTTCTATTTCAGCAGCAGCGCACTGTCTACCGGCTGACGCTTGTGAAGTCTTGGAATGTGGATGAACTCCAGGCCTATGCCGAGCTCGTGTCCCTGGGGAGCCCTGACTTTATTGAAGTGAAGGTAGGCCTGCCTGCTAAGCATGACTCCTCTCACCGGGCTCCTGGTGGGGGACAGTCAGGGACCTGAAGCTCCAATAGCGGTGCTCATGCAGCGAGTGGGAGAGCCTGGCCCTGTGCAGGGATGGGAGCTTTCAGGAAGACCCTCTCTTGCTCCCAGTGAGCCTGCACTGCAAGGGAGGGGATGACCTAATGCACCTAATGCAGAGTGACATTAAGCTGAGGAATGAAGTAGAAGCCTGGTGAGCTCACGCAGTAACTTGGTAATGAGCTTTATTGTGAAGCACTCTAGACGTGTTACAGAAGTAGGTGGCTGGTCTGAGGGCTCTTCTCAACCGCCACTGGGGATCTAAAAAGTCAACACCCTGTGTTGCTTGCCAAATGAATATCTTAGGAACAGACAAAATCCACAGAAGTAAAACTCGTAGAGAAATATGTGATCCAGCCACAGTTTAAATGTTGTTAATACTGAAATACAATGTAGGAACATTTTGGGTCATATGTAGAGAGAGCGTGTCCCTGACTAGCCTATCAGGCCTCAGGCCTCAGGCACTAGTGTCCTGGTTGTCAGGTCCTGTTCCCTGGGGAGGAGACAGGCATGCATTGCTTTTATAATTCAAATGTCTGAAGTGGAGGGATTACAGTGGTGCATGTCTGCAACCCCAGTCACCCTGGAGGCCAAGACAGGAGAATTGCAAATGGGAGGTCAACTAGATGATGGAGCCAGACCCTGTCTCAAAATAAAAGTAAAAAATACTGGGTGGGGTGTAGCTCTCTGTGGTAGCTTGTAGCTCGCCAGCATGCCCAAGCATGCCCAAAGCCCTGGGTTCTACCTGTAGTACCACATGCCAAAAAGCAACAATAAAAAGGAAAAGAAAGCAAAGGAAATGCAGCTGGGATGTAGTTCAGTAGTAAACTCTCGAGGCCCTGGGCTTGATCACCAGCACTGCCAAACTGGGGGGAGAAATACTGAGATGAAATTAGTAAGTTAGTGAGTGGAGAAGGCATGCTTTCCTGTTGAGGACGACGAAGCACTTCAGGTCTGAGATGCTAAGAAGGCATCTTTTCTCTCTTTTTCTGTTGACATTTAAATTTTCAAAGTGTAAGTTTTTTAAATAATAAGTTCTCTCCAGGCAGCATTTGATGAGACCTGACAACATGGTGGGCTGAGAGACCCTCTCCCCCATCAGAGTTAAGTGCTTGGAAACAAAAGTGTCAGGAAAAGTGACTTTGGAGAGCACAGCTGTCCTTCAGGTCTGCAGGAAGCCGAGGGCAGGAGTGCGTGCTGGGGACTCCCAAATTCCCGTGGGCAGCACTGGGTCTGAAGGACAGAGGAGGCCTCTCCCTCAGTGACAGGCCAGGCTGGGCAAGAATGTGGAGGTTCCTGCTAGAGGGGCCTCTCTATTCCCTCGCTGAGCCCCAGGGGGTTTAGAATTCAAATTTAGTGCTACATCAGAGTCCCTGAGGTTAGTCGTGGCAGGAGCCAGCAGTGCTGTTGGTACCCCTCACCCATATCTTAGTCTAAATTTCTGTGACTTAGAAGTAGAGGCCTACACATGTACGTATTCAGAATACTGAATTGAGCCACCTAGAGATCGCTGACCAGTGAGCCCAGTCGCACGGGCACTCCCTCTTCAAGGTTTCACCGCTGGGCGCTGACCTGTGTGGTGGACCCTGTTGCTGACTTCCTGCTCACTGAGTTTGTTCTCTCTCTCTCTCTCTCTCTCTCTCTGGAAAGTGAAGACTGGGAGATGGGAGAGCAAGAAATGAAAGATGGAGACCAGGCAGAGATAGACACGAGAGTTTATTGCCAGAACTGACCAATAGAGGCCCTCTCTCCATAGACTGAGAAGGGCAACACAGGCTTGGGGTTTGGGGCTTTCATGGGGGAGGCTCAGGGATTAGAGCCGGGCAGGTCCTAATGCCCGCTTGTTAAGGGTGGGGTTGGTATGAGGGGGTGGTGAGCCTTTCTCAGAAAGGCCCTTGGACTGGAAAGCAATATTTTTTCCTTAAAATGGTGGCTGTCACTTAAGATGGCCATCCAGATGCTAACAAGGACCTTATGCTCTCTTCTCAACTTGTCACCCTGAGGACAGCAGACCGTCCTGCTGTGGTTGTGTAGCCACAGCAGTAACCCCGGGTGGAGGAGGTCTCGGCGGGCCTCCTAGGGTGTGTGGTCTACCCAGGCAGCTGCCCTGGGGAAGGGGGTGCACCAGGGTAGCCTCAGGAAGCCGCCTGTCCCCACCTGTGCTTCTTCAGTACTACAGAGAGAATGACAGTCCCTATCCAAGGGGCTCCATTGAGAATTCAAAAATAACCCCACCTGGATTCAGTAAGCATTGAGATCTTTTTCTCTTAGACACATTTACTAAACTAAATAAAAAAATGCTGTTTCCTTATTACATTGATTTCTTCTTTTCTTTCATTGCCAGTCTTGTAAAATATTTCTGTTATATTCTCTGTAAATTAGCATTTATTTTAGCTTCATGTGCATTACATAGGCCTTCACTTGCTGGCCTGAGGATCTTAACTACCACTTTTTGCCTACTTATTTGTGAGACAAGCTCACCTGCCCTTTAGGTACCCGTGAGCAAGGCACAGCAGTCTCTGCCCTGCTTGCACCTTGAGAACAGCACGTGCTCAGCGCTGGTTGGTGGCGGTGGTTTCCAACTCCTGCCATTGGCACTGTTGTAGCCAGGCCTTGCAGAATGGCCGACTTGGCACAGCCCCAGCCTCTGCTCTGCACAGTGGCAGTGGTGGAGCCACTGTGCCCCTGGGTGGCAGTGCCTGCGTGGGTTGGTGCAGAGTTCTGCAGTTCACTGTTGTGGAACGTGGCCTGATCTCCTGGGGTAAGTGGCGGTGAAAGAGCAGGCCAGCCATACTGTGGAAGCTCAGCCAGACACCCCCAAACCTGTGGCCTGTGCCTACGTGGGGCAATGGGCTGGAGAGTCTGACGGGGCCGAGGGCAGCCTGGCTCCAAAGACGCATGTGTGCGACCACCAGCGTGCTGTGCAGGTCTCCGAGGATGAGGGAGAGACCCCGTGGGTCCCGCCAAGAAGCTAGGCTCGGTTGTGGTGGGAGCTGTTGAAGCATTTTTAAATTAAGGAGCAGCATGCTTGGGTATATTGCTGGAAGAAAACCTAAAAACTCACGAGGTAAATATTTCTTTTGTTGTCAAATTATAGGAAACGAAAACAGTGTTAGGAACTTTTTGACATCTGGTTGGTGTGAGTAGAATGTCAAATGTTGGAGCTGCCGAGACCCTGTTCTCTCCTTAGACCGTGAGTCCCAGGATGGCCTTGGCACGCAGCCAGCAGAAGGACCCCACTGGTTCTTCTCCTGCAGCAGCCTGGTGCTCAGAGCACGGCCTAGATCTAGGTGAGCAGCTGGGCCTCTTGTGGACCTCAGGTGCTCCCTTGCTTCTTGAGCTTAGTCTGGACTTGGAGAAGGAGACTTGCTCAGGGGCAGGTGGGGAGAGGAGTGGTGACGGAGAGGAGGGTGACAGCCAGCCAGGACATGAGGCAGTGCTGAGCATTTCAGGGTTAGCTGTGGTAGAGGTTGTCAGGCCCAAGCTCCCTGCAGACCATCAAATGGAGCGGAGGCGGAGGAAGCTGGGGAACCCCAGGTGGTGGGCGCTTCGGTCCAGAGATCGTTTTCTTCCCAGGTTCTTGTGCTGCTCTGCCCAGCTTTCTGCCCAGCGTGAGCACTGGCCTTGGTGCCTAGGAGGCTTCCACACTGCTTACCAGGAGGCCTTTGTCAGGCCTGAAGGAAGACTGGACGGGAAGGTGCTCTTTAGGGGAAGGACTGCGAGCAGCCCCATAATGAACCACCATGCTCCTTGCTCTCGTCCTTTCCAGACCCGTCCCCTTAAAGTACTGTAGTTCATTGCTGCCCAGCAGTGAAGTATTTTCCAAAGCTGAGGTCTTACCTGAAATCTCCATGCTTCAGAGAACTAAATTTTTAAGTAGAAAAAGAGACCTCTTTGCACTAGCTACTCCCTCCATGCTTGATGGTGTAATTCAGCTATCACAGCAGTGTTTAAATTGAAGTTGAGGATATTTTATGACCTACGAATAAATCATTTTTTTGTTATTTATATTTTTGGGTAAGTTTAGCACAGTTTTAAGCCTTATTTTCTTGATATTTTGAACTGTATTATTATTTGTCTTGTTCATGTAAAAGGCACACTCAGTTTAGGCACTCTGACTCATGGCGGCCAGGGCTTTCCTGTGTGCAGTGTGGAAGCTGGGTTGTGGTGGCTTCTGTGTGCTAGGGGCCCCCTCACCTGAGCTCTGGCCTCGTGGTGGCTTCTGTGTGCTAGGGGCCCCCTCACCTGAGCTCTGGCCT